GATAAAAAAAACAACAAGGAGAGAAAGGTGTGTCACCACTTTCTTCAGCTTCTGGAATTGCAACCAGAAGTAGAAGCACTGGTTCTCTGGCTGTGAAATCCAAAGTATGCGTAGCCATCCCCCTCTAGTGCCCAAGGAGATGACAGTATCGCCACCACCTAGAAGGTGAGTGTAGCTGATGGAGACCTGCCAAATAAAGCACCTAGGGCTGTTGATGACCCAGGAAGAGCTTTCACTCAGAGACACCTCTCCTTGCCCACTTGCTGACTTTTTCAAAATACTGTATGACAATGTTTTTAAATCGTTAGAAGAAATCTACATTTGCAAAATCAAGAATGAAAACATAAATGAAAACTGCCTGTGAAACCTCACTCCAGCCTCCTTCTGAATATTATCACAAGCTTTTTTAATGGGCTGATTACAGACTCCTGCGGTTCCCCCTCAGGACTCCTTGCCTGACATGGGGCAAAGAATGGCCTGTGCCGTGCGAATTTGTTACGACCGCACAATGCGGGAGCCTGCTGTCTGCTATGGCTCAGCTGCTGGCGTTGCAGCACCAACATTGCAGAACCTGGATTCCAATGGGCCGGCAGTGACAGAAACAATGCTCTTAGAATTAAATCAGATGAATGACCCCTTAAAGACTGTGGGGCAACCACGCAAACCAAAGCAGCATTATTGCAGGTACTTCAGAGTGGTATGTGTCCCAGCATTAAGCTGCTACCGACAGTATTCACTGGAATAAAAGTTTTTTTGTTCTTCACAGTTGCAAACAATGCCTGGGAAAGTGTGGTTTGCAGAAGTCAGTATGGTCTCACAGCTGCAACCCAGGTCACAACAAACCACGTCCATCTCACGCTTCCAAAATGCTGTATAGTACTGCAAGCACTGAAAAATCAGTCCACACACCCCTAAAGTGCAGGGAAGTTTCCAGCGGCTCTAATCTTGCTGCTTTCATTTCTCCTTTGTAAAAAGAAGTCATAATGATATTGCCTCCCTTCACGACAGACGTTTGAAGATACTCATCAGTGTTTGCAAAGAGCTGTGTGCTATACCTGAGCACCTTGGGAAGTCTCACTGAAAATGAGTAGTTCTATGCTATGTTCAGTAGCACACAGTAAAGCAACACAGAGGCCTTCATATTACAGGGAAAGGATAAAAAGGTACTGAAGACTAAGATTTCACAAGCACTGCGTATGGCAGTGATCCTCTGGCAAAAAAAAACACGCCATTTGCTATGGTGGGATCCACCGTGCAAGCGAGTCACTTGCACCGTCTCTAGCGCACGGAGAGATGAGCGTGCTCCACGGGCGGCAT